CATTCCCATATGAGAAGGCAGAGGTAGGAAACCTCAGACTAATTTCAGGACCAATCTGATCCTTCTGAAATCAGTGGCAAAATTGTTTCATGGACTTCAGTGGGAGTAAGATCAGACCTCAAGCCACAGAGAGGCAAGGTGGAAGCAAATTACAATATGGTAGAAAGGAAGACCAGCTAGCAATGGGGGTCTTTAGATTGGAACATTATATATCATAACTTTATTTTCAATTTTTCTGTTTGACTATTTATAAATGTTAAGTGTATACATTCACAGACTTTTACTTTTTTACCTTCTGAAAGACACAACTGTATTAAAAAAGCCTTACTGACATTGACTTAATGTGTCAGCTAAGGATACATGTTTTTAAACCCAATCCAACCCAAATTACATGTGCCAAGACATAAGAAAAATAGAATATTTTCCTCAACTCATCCAGATTGGGACATTTTTCAAAAGGAAAAAAAATACTAACTCAAAACCCTTCTTGAATTTTCTGGTGCAGGAATCCTTTTCCACATGCTCAGGCAATCACACTTCTTGCCACCACCAGAGTTACTAATTCATTCACGTATCGGGGGTAGCCGTGTTAGTCTGTATCTACAAAAACAACAAGGAGTCTGGTGGCACCTTAAAGACTAACAGATTTATTTGGGCATAAGCTTTCGTGAGTAAAAACCTCACTTCTTCGGATGCATAGAGTGAAAGTTACAGATGCAGGCATTATATACTGACACATGGAGAGCAGGGAGTTACTTTGCAAGTGGAGAACCAGTGTTGACAGGGCCAATTCAATCAGGGTGGATGTAGTCTACTCCCAATAATAGATGAGGAGGTGTCAATTCCAGGAGAGGAAAAGCTGCTTCTGTAATGAGCCAGCCACTCCCAGTCCCTATTCAAGCCCAGATTAATGGTGTTTAATTTGCAAATGAATTTTAGTTCTGCTGTTTCTCTTTGAAGTCTGTTTCTGAAGTTTTTTTGTTCAATGATAGTGACTTTTAAATCTGTAATAGAATGACCAGGGAGATTGAAGTGTTCACTTACTGGCTTATGTATGTTACTTCCCTTTTATACAATGCCTCTGCTGGGGATCAACTAGAAGTTGTAGAGGTTCATAGAAAAGTATTTGTTTAATATGTAAGAATATACTTTCCCCAAATGCCCTACTTCTTGAGTAATTAAAGTAGTTGTGAATTAAAGATTTCACTTCCTCACAGATCCTCCAGTACGAATCAGTGAGGCAGTGTATGTAATTCCTTAAGCCCTTGGGGTGCTAGATATCAAGTATATATTTTTGTTAAACAATTTTATTCATATTGAGATAGCTTCCCCTTCCATATCATGTTATTAATCCTCATTTAAACCCTTATTTAAAAGTCTTCCCCATGCATTCATGAATGCTTTCTTAAAAAACATCTTTTAAGGCTTGAAAAATCTAATTTCTGAACTAAACATATTTCTATTTCTGTAGCCTTAAGAAGAGGCACCTGGAGTGGCCCTATTTGCTGTTGCAGGCCTTGCTGCTATGTAACACTCTATAGCTTGTACTCAGAAGGAAGGGTGCATTAATATTGGGCTGGACTAGTTGGTGAGATGTAGACATCCTAGTTCTGGTATCAGAATTCTGCTACCAAAGTAATCTCTAGACTGGGGGCATTTTATCTGGTGAAAAGCTGAAGCTAAAAGAAGCTGGCTGAGCACAAGCAGGAGAATTTGAACTGTCTCTAGAACAGTGGTCTCCAACCTTTTTAAGCACAAGATCACTTTTCGAATTTAAGTGCAATCCAGGATCTACCCTTCCCAGAGGCCCAACCCCGCTCACTCCATTCTCCCCCCCAATCACTCGTTCTCCCCCACCCTCACTCACTTTCACTGGGCTGGGGCCTAGGGGTTTGGAGTGTGGGAGGGGGGGTCCGGGCTGAGCCTGGGGCAGGGGTTTGGGGTACAGAAGGAGGTGAGGGGTGTGAACTCTGGGAGGGAGTTTGGGTGCAGGAGGGGGCTCTGGGCTGGGGTGCAGGAGGAGGTTTGGGGTGTGGGCTCAGGTCTGGGGCAGGGGTTCAGGAGTGCAGGAGGGGGTACAGAGTGCTGGCTCTGGGAGGAGGCTCAAGGCTGGGGTGTGAGCTCCCAGCAGGTGGCACTTACCTTGGGCGGCAGGGCTGTCCTGGCCCCACACTGCTCCTGGAAGCTGCCAGCACGTCCCTGTGCTGCGACCCCTGGTGGGGGCACCTGACTCTGCACGCTGCCCATCCCTGCAGGCACCACCCCCACAGCTCTCATTGGCCGCAGTTCCCAGCCAATGGGAGCTGCAGGGGCAGTGCTTGCAGGCAGGAGTGGCGTGCGGAGACCCCTGCCTCTGCTCCCCCCTTGCAGGGACTTGGAGCCTGCCTTAGCCGTGCTGCGCCACTGGATTTTTAGCGGCCGGAGATTGCAATTGACTGGCAGAAGCTCAGTGATCGACCAGTTGATGACCACTGCTCTAGAAGCAGCCAGCAGCAGGAGCTTTCAGGGGAGTGAGAAAAAAATTAATCTGGTAATTGGTCAATTTGCTTTGAAACAACAGAATAAACCCCATTGGTCCAGACTGTTCACATGTTAATAACAGTCTACTTGCAGGAATTGTTAAAAAGATGTTGAAATGGTTTCTGTCTAGCAGCGTGTTATGAATTTCTCCTGCTGAGTTTCTGGAATTATAAAGTAAGGAGAACAGTGTTTTATATAAGCCACTTCCCTCTGAAAAAGAAAATCAGATGAAGCATGTGACATGGACTAAGGCGAGAGGCACTTCACTGTTAACTGTGGCTCCTGTTAATAGTAAGTGATGTTTAAGTAAAATACCTTCTGGTGGCTTACCCTGAAATGGTGTCCACAGCCTTGAGTAAGCAGAACCCAGTAAAACACAAATCACTGGATGAATTAATCACAAATTAACCAAGAATGGCTGCTGATCAGATAACAATATTTCAAGAATTCCTTTTGAAGTACTTTAGCATGCTTTGTTACACAAACTCAAATACATTTTATAGCATTTCATAAATAGCTGAGAACAAGTTAAATAAAACTTCAACAGATTTAGTATGATTTTATTCATTCTAGAAAACAAATACAATTATGTTCTCAAATTCAAATCTGTAAAAAATTACTATTCCTCAGATTGTTTGCAAATAATAAAATGATTAAGTGAAATATGAAAGCATAACAAACATTACAGTATTTAGTGTGCCTAAATGTCATAAAATATACCAACAAGAAACAGAAATGATAAATAAATGGATTATTTTCATATGTTTATTTCCAAACAAGAATACTATAATAAAATGACAAGAAAACTGCCCTACCACCAAGATCCCACAGTATGGGGAAAGATAAACCACTGCAAAATGTTATATAAACATTTAAATCTGGACACATTCAATATTCTTTCCTGTTTTAAGGGGTGAAAAGAGATATGTTATTAAAAAGATTAAAAGGCTGCTGTCAGAAATAGGAGAAAACTATAAATACTGTCCTGGTTTAGTTCATTACACAATTTTCACTTAGGAAATGAAGCAAAGTTTAACATGCTTGAATGAAGTAACAGTCTCAAGACTTTTAGAATATACTGTTATAGCATACAATGCTCAGTGAACTAATACTGTCCAAATCCCCTCATCAGTCTATAGCTGAACAAGAATCTCAGCAAGGTTTTAGTTTTTTAAATTCCATTGGTGATTCACAAACTAAAGCCAGGTCAGTTTATTTTTCCCACCTTTTTTTCCTCTTCCCTCCCTTTCATTCTTTGATCTCAATTTCAGTTAAATGCAGTGATGGTGCCAGTACCAGCCCATAGATCCTGTCAAAGCTCTCTCTTATTTTAATATTGTATTCATTTTTAACGTGCACAAATATAGAGCAACTAAATGCTCCTGGAAACCAGGCCTAAACCTGTCCCAAATTCATGACTAAAGGCCATCTTCTGTTATGTTCCTCCTGCCCATCCATTCCACCTCAGAAATCTAGTCTCTATGTACAGTCTATACTGCAGTAAGAGTAGCAGTAAGAGGTCCATGTATATAGGGGAGTATTAAATTCTGGTTTGCTGAGTGTTTTCTAAACAAAGGCCAGCCCTGAACATTATTATGGAAGTGTCACATCTAATACTGTTATTTTGAAGCAGTATTCTCTTAATCTGGCTCTAATCAGTTCTGATTAAAAAAGGCAATACCAACAAGTTTCTTAAAATAATCTTGAGCTTTTACTTTTTGATGGATAGTATAACACCATCAATTAACTGATTTTTCTATGCAGCCACAGAGCATTGTTTCTATTAACATGAATACTTGAAAATTTAATGTTTCTTGGGGTGGACCTTTGTATACCATGTACAGTCTTGAGGATACCTCATTTTTTCTTACTTAACCTCTCCCTCTTCATGCCCTATGTTACCCACATTAGTCTTATGGAAAAAGATAATCAAATTCCCTTCAGACCCCATCAACAATGCTTTTTAAAATCAGACTGCAGCCTCAGTGTTGAATGGCACAAATTATTCCTTCTCTCTCATATTCTGGAGCTGAGTGCAGAATTCCCAGCCTATTAGCAGCCCAATGAGCAAAAGGATAATACCAAGGTCTGATCCCATAGCCCTTATTCATACCAATAGTCCCATGAGTGGGACTACTCATGCAGCTAAGTACTAGTCACTTAAATAAAGATTGCAGAATCAAGCCTCAAAAATTAAACCCAGGTCTCCCGAACAGAAGACTAGAGAATTGTTGCTAGAGAGCAAGGCTAAACTAAAGCACTTTTGTTATAAAAATATATATGTTACAAACAATTGTTTTTGCACATTATTCCTCAAAATACTTTAAAAGTTTTTTTTAAGAACGCTTTGTTTTACTATAAAAAGTTTTGATATGTGCTATACATACCAGTAGATTTTAGAGGACATGAGCAGCATTTGAAAGCCACCACAAATGATGTATGTATGTGTATGTATATAACACGTACCAGAGTAAACCAATCCTCCCTGCCCCCAAAGAAAAGACTGACTACATAAAACATTTTCAAAAGGTTTCCCTATGTTACTATGGTCACAAGGGTGAAGAAGTCTCCATAAAAATTAAGGGAAAGGGCCAAATGGAAAATCATTGGAAATAAAATAACAGAATTATTTTTCACTGTTTCCAGACATAGAAATGGTAATAAACCCAGACAGGTTATAGCAGGGAGAAAGTTTTACCTAGGCTTTACAATTCATATTAAATCCATGTATAGTGATAGGTTTATAAAATGATTTGGAAGAGTTGAATAACACCTGTCAAGCCTGCACCTCACATCTGAAGAGTGCAAGAATCTGACATGGATTAACAAATGTCACCTAGCCCCTAAGATTTGTATTAGTTTTCTCTTAAATTTTAAGCAAATTAATTTAAAATACAGATATCTTTACAAATAACATTTATCTACATTAATAAACTTTAATAAGAGGTTAGCACAATTGTAATATGTTCAATAATTAAATACTCCTTCCAATCATAGTATGTATATATTTGTAACAGACACTCATACTAATTTTCATAGATGGGTAATAGATTTACTAGCTTTGAAATAAAAATGAATAAAACCTGATGTTAATCCCAAGAGTATCAAAATGCAAAACTAAGGAATTAAGAGAAGAATATGCCTCATCTTGAAGAGAAGGCTTGGCACGTGCTTTCAAATGTAAACACAACATACCTTGGCAAAAATACAACCAACTTAACAAAAAAATCTGCATCCAAATATCTGTTGTAAGTTTTGTATTGTTACACTCTTCTTCATTTTCCCTACTACAGTATACATTTTTGATAGGGGAACATACAAACTTTTTCCTTTGTACACTATCAATGTAAAGATGCAGCTGTGGGCATTTCTCCTTCTGTTTCCTGAAATGGTTCATTGTGATATGGCACTAAATAATAAAGGTAAGCTGTATCAAAAAATACAGAACATCAAGACTGATTTCTTTCCTTTGACCAAAATAAAAGAATTTCAGAGTATGTGTTCTCTTACATTGGTATACTAACGTATATTTAACGTAATTTAGCAGTCAGTGGGGGAAAACAATTGTTTAACAAACCCGGAGTTCAATTTTAAACCTGCAGCTTTCTAGAGGATGTGCTGATTCTTTTCATGTCATCCTGAGTAATGTCAGAAGTCCCTGAATGTAGAATTCCTACAAGAGAAGAAAAAGTGTGAAGTCGAATTGGTCTTATATTCACTTAATATAGAAGAAACCCATTCAGAGGTTTATATGTGTAAAACGTAAGTGCTTAATCCTGCAAGCTCTCTTTGTGTGTAACTCCCATTCACTTCAACAGGGATTCCATGCACAGAGGATTTGCAGGATTAGGCACTAATAGCCCAATTTTCAGAAGTAATGAGCACCCAAAATGCCCACTGAAGTCAAAGGCAACTTTGGGCTCCTTCCACCATCTCTGAAAAATCAGGCTACAAGTGCCTTTCCTACTTCCTGAGCAGGACAGTAGGTACACAGCATTTGGGTTCACTTTACAGAAACAGAAGAGTACTATTTTACAGGCAGTGGAAACTCATGAGATAAATGTACTAAATATTATGAAACCAAGATATCAGGAAAGGAGCGAAGAAGATGAAAAAAGTAAGAGGGAGAAGACAATTATTGTCTGATTTATTTCTGAGGTCACAATCCCACTGAAACAGAAAGATGTTAATTGGCTGACTTAGGCCTGGTCTACACTAGGCTTTTATGTCGAATTTGGCGCCGTTACATCGAATTAACCCTGCACCCGTCCACACCACGAAGCTATTTAGTTCGACATAGAGCTCTCTTAAATTCGACTTCTGTACTCCTCCCCAACGAGAGGAGTAGCGCTAAATTCGAAATGGCCATATCGAATTAGGCTAGGTGTGGATGGAAATCGACGCTAATAGCTCCGGGAGCTATCCCACAGTGCACCACTCTGTTGACGCTCTGGACAGCGGTCAGAGCTCGGATGCTCTGACCAGCCACACAGGAAAAGCCCCGGGAAAATTTGAATTCCCTTTCCTGTCTGGGCAGTTTGAATCTCATTTCCTGTTTGGACATCGTGGCGAGCTCAGCAGCACTGGCAACGATGCAGAGCTCTCCAGCAGAGATGGCCGTGCAATCGCAGACTAGAAAGAGGGCCCCAGCATGGACTGATCGGGAAGTCTTGGATCTCATCGCTGTGTGGGGCGATGAGTCCGTGCTTTCAGAGCTGCGCTCCAAAAGAAGGAATGCAAAGATCTACGAGAAGATCTCTAAAGCCATGGCAGAGAGAGGATACAGCCGGGATGCAACGCAGTGCCGCGTGAAAATCAAGGAGCTGAGACAAGGCTACCAAAAAACCAAAGAGGCAAACGGACGCTCCGGATCCCAGCCCCACACATCCCGTTTCTACCAGGCACTGCATTCCATCCTAGGTGCGGCCGCCACCACTACCCCACCCGTGACCGTGGACTCTGAGGATGGGATATTGTCCGCGGCCGGTTCCTCGTCGGACATGTTAGCGGACGGGGAAGATGAGGAAGGAGATGAGGAGGACGAGGCAGTCGACAGCGCTTGCACCGCTGATTTCCCCGACAGCCAAGAGCTCTTCATCACCCTTACCGAGATCCCCTACCAACCGTCCCCAGCCGTTACCCCGGACACAGAATCAGGGGAAGGATCAAGCAGTAAGTGCTTTAAACATCTAAACTTTTATTTTTAACAGAACTGGAATATTTATAA